CTTTCAGCCTGCCAACGTCTGTGCTGATACAGATGTGTCTGCCAATGTTGTCAAGTCTCTTGATCTCATTCCATATGGAACATGTTCCAGGACGCCAGCCCTAAATAATCTCTTAACAAAGAATAGTACACCAATCTCTGTAGTGTCAGGTCATTGACATTTATTAAATGAATGATGTAACAGATTTCATTTGCAATTTAGGAAATCATTAGTTAACCCCACAGCATCTCAAAAAGACTGTGTGTATTATGAAACTAAGGCACTATCTATTTTGGCTGGATTATATAATGCTGATTCCTTTCAGACTCTCTTAAAATTAACTTTGTTCTTGAACATCTCTCATCTCAAGTTACTTTTAGGAATGGGATGACAGGTTAAAAATGAGTGTATCCATCAGAAGATATTACATACATTCCTTACTTTTTCTGCTTCTTAGAACTACAATGGGAAACCAAAGATATGTTTTACCTAAAGATATTTCTTGGAAAACAGAGCTTCAAATTTGGATGCAATAGGATATTCTTGATACTAATGAATCTCTACTGTTCTAGACTTAACTCTTGAAAAATGAAGAGAGTTATGACAAACGACAACATTATTTGATGCAATGATAAGTCTTGGAATAAAAGCTATGAATATTGGACTGTAAGAGAGTAACTTTATACATGTGACCTCACAGTGGTACATATAGAAAAATGTATTCATCCATCATCATTTTTCATGTATTCCCCTTCAAAAACTCTAACCCAGACACTCTTTGGACAGTTTGTCTGAAATTATATATAATCAATCTTCTGCTTGAGTACAGACTTTAATTTTTTTTTTTAAGTTAGATAAAGATTTCAAGGAACATTTGAAAAATGAGTAAATGTTATTCATTAAACATCTGATCCTATTCCCATCAAAATCAGTGGAAAAAATCACAGAGATTTCCATAGGTAGGATCAACCCCTGTTACATCTTGCAGACTGGCTGACCCAAGTATTTTTAGACTCAGAGGTGAAGAAGTGTATACAAGTAGTCTTGAGCACCCTAGGCTACGGCTACACTGCCGTTTTTTGCGGAAGAAGATATGCAAATCATGCTCGCATTTGCATATCTTCTTCCTATTCTTTTTGCAGAAGAGGTTTTGCCAATAAAAACCCCATGTAGACGGGGCCGTTGGTCAGGAAAAAACCCTCTTTCGCAAGATCCTGTAAACCTTGATTTTTGAGGAATAAGGGATCTTGCGAAAGAGGGTTTTTTCCCAACAAATGGCCCCGTCTACACCAGGCTTTTTATCAGCAAAACCTCTTCCTCAAAAAGAATCGGAAGAAGATATGCAAATATGAGCGCAATTTGCATATTCTTTTCCTCAGAAAAACAGCAGTGTAGCCGTAGCCCTCAAGACTAACAAAAAATGTAGATGGCATGAGCTTTCGTGGGCACAACCCACTTCTTCAGATGAATGGAGTTTAAGGGGTCCAGTTTTCAAATAAATAGCACAGAGAGGGGATGGGGGGAAAATGAGGAAAAAGAAGGTAAAAAAGAAGAAAGAAATTGTCAGAGTGTCCATGCTAAATGAAGCTGATAGGAATACATAGTACTTACTCTAAGTACCCTTTGTTTGTTTTTTTTATGTCATTAGGATGTGGAATGTAGCAGGCCATCCAGCTAACGTCTTTGTTTAGACTTCTGTTGTAGGAATCAAACTTGTACATGAAATTATTAAGTTCTGTAGCTTCCCTGTCGAGCTGGATTTTGAAATCGGTTTGAAATAATACAGTGACTTTGAGATCCATTAATGAATTCCCAGGCAAGCTAAAATGTTCCCCAACAGGTTTCTGTGTGTTGCTTTTTTGGATATCTGATTTGTGTCCATTAATTCTTTCTTGTAGAGACTATCCAGCTTTTTTCCTCCTCTTCCCCTACATCTCCTCTCTGTTCTATTTATTTGAAAACTGGACCCCTTAAACTCCATTCATCTGAAGAAGTGGGTTGTACCCATGAAAGCTCATGATATCATCTACATTTTTGTTAGTCTCTTACATGCTGCAAGACTATTCATTGTTTTTTAAGTTTTTCCAGTTACAGACTAACATGGCTACCCTTCTGAAACTTTTGTATACAATTGTGTATACTTTATATGAACACTTGCATTATTTGTGTGCATGCTCACCTAGAAATAATCTCCTAACATATATCTACTTAAAGGTTATCTGTGTAGAGTGGGTGGGCGTTATAGTAGTAGATATTTATACAGAATCCCTGCACTCACATAGCACTTTACAGATTTTTTTGAAAGGCCAGGCCATTGTCTTACAGTCTGCATTAGGAAAATATATAAGAATATGAAGGTAATGACAAATAATGTACAGGCAGTCCCCGGGTTACATGGATCCGACTTACATCGGATCCCTACTTACAAATGGGGTGAGGCAACCCCGCACTAGCTGCTTCCCCCCAGCAGACCAGGGAGACGCGGAGTGGCTTTTCTCAGCAGACACCTCAGCTTGAGAATAAAGGACTGAGGGAAATGAGGTGTGGGAGAATAAAACTGAGCTCTGGAGAAATGTTTGGCTAGAGTTTCCCCTACAATATGTACCAGTTCCGACTTACATACAAATTCAACTTAAGAACAAACCTACAGTCCCTATCTTGTAAATGCTTGAGAATAAAGGCCTGAGGGAAGTGAGGTGTGGGAGAATAAAACTGAGCTCTGGAGAAATGTTTGGCTAGAGTTTCCCCTACAATATGTACCAGTTCCGACTTACATACAAATTCAACTTAAGAACAAACCTACAGTCCCTATCTTGTACGTAACCTGGGGACTGCCTGTACATTAGTTTGTACAAAGAATCTATAATAGTGAAGATAATCTCTGGACTTTGTATCTATAAATTCCCAGCATCCCTTTCTAGCAGACACAATCCTAAAACTTGCATCATAATACACATTGTGCTGTTCTTGAAGGACATAAGTTACCTGCAAGGATTATGCTAAAAGTGTGATGCTGCTTTTAAGATTTCAGAAGTGGAAAAGCATATCTGGCTGTTATTTATGATGTAATTGGTGTTTGAATTATAATAAATATACCATTGTAAGATCCTGAGACATCTGATCCACAGTCTTCTTTGTTGTTCTCCCAGTTAGTGACATCATAAACAAAGGAGATGAAAAATGTGTTAATAGCACTCATCATGATGCTTGCTTTGGCTGAAAAACTGGAAAGTCTGCAGCTTTGATTCTTTATGGAAATCATAGCGGCAAACCACATATATAGATACACTTCTCATCACTTATGTATTAAATAGGCCATTCGTATTTAGTCTATATGACTGCGGTTGCAAATGAAATATATCACAAGACTTGAACATCGTCTTATCATCCAAATCTCTGTAGTGTTGTGCCTTACTATCAAAGATTAATTCCTCTGTGTATCCTTTGGCTCTGTTGTGAGCTTCCAGTGGTAACATCATCTTCAGTTGTTTAAAAGGGAGCCTGCATTTCAGCTACAATGTTAACCTCCATCCACCACAGTTTCAGTTTTCCCTTTAACAGTTTTAATTTTTCTTTTTTTGACAGGTGATGGGGTTTTTAGCAGATAAGAAGCCAGAGCAAGGACAGAGAGTTTCAGGCATCCTGGTTAAAAGAAACTTTAACTATCACATCCTTTCTCCATGTGACCTCTCCAGTAAGTGAAAATGGCATACTGTCGTGTGCTCTGCAACTAATCTGAGTTTCCTGTTTTAAAGGCAAAAGATATGTAGGACTATATTTGATATATTATGTATCTACAATTTCTGTTTGATCAATAATTGGCTGACATAGATTTTTTAAATTTTATTTTAGCTCAGCATGGGGAAAATCTGCTTGATGTATGTTAAATACAGTAGTATAGGAATGTGTTTGACATTAAATACCTGTCAAAGACCATTCAAACTGACAAAGGAGACTTATCTTCTTTGGATGCAAGGAATGGTTCATAAATAGAAATCAACAGCAAACATTTACAATTTTCAGAACTTCTCAAGCCTGAATTTTCAGAAGGTCTAAAACAAGGGTGAGAACTACAAAGCTTAACTGCTCTGTTCATGTCAGTGAATGAAGTCTGTCATCTTCAACAGTTTCACTGTTTATTATGTTAGCAAAATCATCAGACTAACATGCTTACTTGTCATTGTTGGATTTAGAGGCAGCTATTAAGGCGGTGCAGTAGGGCAACTAGTTGTTATTGTTGGTTGCTGGAATCAAAAACAAGGAATTCAGATCCTTCCTCTGCCCCTGCCCAACAAGGAGGAGAGAGAAAAAAAATTATTCCCTCTGTGACAGGTTCTATCTGGAACTAGGGTACCACTAAGCCCCCTGACTCATCAGACTGGGTTTCCTTTCACATTTTATTGTTGTGACAAGCTGCCAAACCCTCCAGCCTGCACGTACACCAGCATACATACAGGGAGGGATGTACCCAGCTGCAGTTACATGCAGGTTCTGATCAGCCCCTGCATAGGAAGGCTACTGCTAAGCAAAATGCCATCTCCTTAGGCAAGCACCCCCTCTGGAGTATAAACCCAAAATTATACCATCTTGCGCTGCACAGGGAACTATATAGCGTAAGCTCATAAAATCTGTCCCCTCTCTCTCAGTGTGGAGAGGAATATGCAACAGCCTTTTTCCCCTGTGTTTTGATGCACACTGGTTTAAACCAAGCAAAAATAAGGTTAACTACAAAAGATAGATTGTAAGTGATTGTGAGAGTAAGCAGACAGAGCAAATTACGGTGCAACTAAAAAACTGCAAATTAAGCTTATATACTAAATACATGGGATATGAATAGCAGATTCTCACTCTAAGAGATGATACAAGCAGACTGCAGTTTCTTAAGTGGCAAGCTGCACTTGCTTTACAGCTTGGTACCCTGAGGTGTTCTATTCACAGGCTAAAAATCCCTGTAGCCTAGGTCCAGCACTTTCCCCAGTTCAGTCTTTGCTCCTCAGGTGTTTTCAGGAGTATTCTTGTGTGGGGAGTGATGAACCCCAGATGATGTCACTCTACACCTTTATTTGTAGACGGAGCTTGGTCCTGCCTTGAGGGCGGGGGGCTGGACTCGATGACCTCTCGAGGTCCCTTCCAGTCCTATTACTCTATGATTCTATGATTCTATGATATGTGGATTGAATGGGACAGTCAAGACAAAAGGACTTGTGGGAGACAGTGCATCTCTGCTGCATAATCTGCATCTAATGTGCCACATAAAATACAGGGCCTTGTCCATGCCTTAGTCACAGACACAATCCTCTTTTAAGATGCTACTGGGTTTTGCTTTGTTTATCTGTTTTTTGCCAATTGCACTTAACTTTTGGAATCAACAGTTGACTCCATTTCTTAGCAGTGAAAAATTTGTTTTTAGAAAGTGACTTTTAAAGGACTATCTTCCCTTTTTTTTTTTTTTTTTTTAACTTCAGATTACACTGATTTGGCTATGAGCACCGTAACACAGACACAAGCTATTCCGTATTCTGGCTCTTTCAGTCTGCTTTATTACCAGCTACAGAGACTGACAGGTGGGTGTATTTGAGAAACGATGCTTTGAATAGGCTTGCCTGCCTCCCATTTGCTACAATTCTTCCTCACCGTTTACTTAGTTTTCTCTTGAGAAAAGAATCAGTCAACATTGAAGTCTGATTATTTTATGGAAAACAAATATAGAAGTAGATGTATTTAATAGTAAATATTTGTGTTAAAATAATGGAAAATGTATTTAAATCCCTCAGACTTCTTTGATTATCTCAACCTTTATTTTTGCTCTATCTGAATTCATGACTTAAATTCATAGTTTATTTGTGAGGAGGCTCTTCAGACCACCTTGCCATTTGCCTGGCTACCAGTACTTTTTACATGAGAAAATATTCTTACTATGTGTTGTCTAACACTTTTCACTGGCAGTGTAAATTGTGACCAGATAGTTAACAAATTAATATTGACAATGAGGGAGAAGGGCCTCTGGCCAGAATAGGTAAAGAACAGGTTAAAGAATAGAGACAAGTTAGATGTATTCAAGTTGACAGGGCTTGATGAAATTCATCCAAGATTACTTAAAGAACTAGCCAAACTAATCTCTGAACCATTAGTCATTTTCTTTGAGAACTCATAGAGGATGGTAGAAGTCCAAGAGTACTCGAGAACACAGTAGCTTTACAGAAAAAGGAAAACCCAAAGCTGACGGGATTTGCACTGGGATCTCCCAACTCTTACTTGAGTGTTCTAGGTAGTGGGGTATGGAATACTTTGATAAGGCACTCCCACAACCTCTCCCGTTAAAGCTATTCCACTATGAATAATTAATGAAAGGTCATTGGAGAGGTCATCAGGTGGGAAGGAAAGTGAGAGAATGATCTAACCACCAGGATACAGAGTCACTCATCTGGGAGGTGGGAGCCGCAGAATGTAGTTCCCTTGCTGCAATGACTTTTTAATTATTTATCCACAATGGAACTGTTTCAACAGGAGAGACTGAGGTAACCCCACACCGGAATATCCTATAGCCCACTGATTAGGGAACACCCCATTGGTGGAGGAGGGACTTTGAACCATTTATAAGGGAGGTGACATCATCATACATAACTTTCTTTGTGAATTTAGCCCTAAGTTGTTGTTTTTATATACTGGTGTGCTTTAGTTAATGCATTGCATTATTAAAATATATCAATAAAACAGCTAATATGTCCAGTGTTGCAAAGTAAAAGGGCAATAAATTGTCATTAAGGGGATTGGGAGTATGTGTTTGAGGAGGAAGAAATGGATTTCATATATATGGCCATCATACTCTCTAAGGATATGTCTACACTAGAAAGTTAATTCGAACTAACGGACGTTAGTTCGAATTAACTTTGATAGGCGCTACACTAGCGCTCTGCTAGTTCGAACTTAATTCGAACTAGCGGAGTGCTTAGTTCAAACTAGGTAAACTTCATTGTACGAGGACTAAGCCTAGTTCGAACTTACTAGTTCGAATTAAGGGCTGTGTAGCCCCTTAATTCGAACTAGTGGGAGGCTAGCCCTCCCCAGCTTTCCCTGGTGGCCACTCTGGCCAACACCAGGGAAACTCTATTGCACCCCTCCCGGACCCGGACCCCTTAAAGGGGCACGGCCTGGCTACGGTGCCCGTGCCAGGTGCAAGCCTGCCAGCACCCAGCCAGCAGACCCT